GGAAGTGTTTCTTGGATTGTATTGATAAACGCTAACAGTACAAGAGAATGGCCCCAAAAAATTCCTCCCTAAGGTATCGCGAGCTGTTGCTGTAAAAGACAACATAGCAACCATTTCAGAAACAACGACATGCGCATCTCGTATTCTCGAAACATATCACAGTCCTTTTGATGCCTCCGTCGTAGAGGATGTCAAAGTTGGCACTGGAAATGTCGCGGGGAAGACGAATATGGATGAATTTGGAATGGGTTCGCATTCATTAAACTCATATTTCGGTGCTGTCCGTCACCACAAGCCTTTCCGGTCGAGATCGGTTGGAGGAAGCTCTGGTGGAAGCGCAATGGCTGTGGCAACAAGCACAACTAATATGGCACTCGGCACAGATACCGGCGGGTCAGTTAGGTTGCCAGCTGCATACACTGGTACTGCAGGGTTCAAACCTTCGTATGGTATTGTATCTCGCTTTGGTGTGGTGCCTTACGCGAATTCGCTCGATACTGTCGGCTTGATAGCACGTAGTGCAAGTAGAATAAATGAAATCTTTTCGAGATTGAGCAGTCATGATCCTCGGGATCCTACGAGTCTCAAGCCCTCCAGTCGAACCCGTATCAAAGAACAACGGATGGATTTTTTCGGAAAGACAAAGATCTCTGCTACGCATGATCCATTTTATCTTCGAGAGCTGAAGATTGGTGTTCCAATCGAATACAATATCTCAGAATTGGACTTGGAAGTTTCATGGGCGTGGCAACGAATGCTGAAACTTCTTCAGCGTGAAGGATGTACAATCGTTCCCATATCACTTCCTAACACAAAACATGCTCTTTCAGCATATTACGTACTTGCCGCCGCCGAAGCATCTTCTAATCTTTCAAAATATGATGGAGTGAGGTACGGAACTCGTGATCAATCGAGTGATGGGGCGGGAGATGTTCTTTATTCCGAGACCAGGGGTGCTGGCTTTGGAGACGAAGTGAAAAGGCGAATTCTTCTTGGGTCATATTCATTGAGCTCTGATGCTATTGACAATTACTTTATTCAGGCACAAAAGGTTCGACGGTTGGTTCAGAGAGATTTTGACCGTGTCTTCTCCATGCCCAATTACCTACGTCCAGAAGAACAATTTGATCTTAGTGATATGGACGAGGGCATTGCACTCGAAGATAAACTGGGCCCTGCAGAAGTGGATATTATACTCTGTCCAACAGCTCCCACTCTTTCACCAACTGTTCAAGACATTACTGAGCGCCAAACACCGGTTGATGCTTATATGAATGATGTATTCACAGTGCCTGCTAGTCTTGCTGGTATACCCTCCATCAGCATACCATGCAAATTGCCATTCAAATTTTCCAAACAGAGCGTGCCTTCAACTGTTGGCATTCAAGTCATGGGTCAGCACTCAGACGATGGCCGCGTTTTACAGGTTGCCTCCATGATAGAGATGTTGTGGGATTCTCAAGTAGATAAGGGTTGGAACAAGGACTTCCGCGAATGGCAGGCACGGAGCTTGAAAGAATCAAACACAGATATAGCAGTCTTGTCAGAAATGATAAGACAGGCCTCCACTTCCGAAGAGGCGGAAACGCTCAGGGAAAGGCGCGCCGAGAAGAAAAGGCAGCGGTGGGTACAAACCAGCGAGTTTCAAAGGCAAGTGTGTGAAGAAGATATGGATAAATGGCAGAAGTTGAGGTTTGGAGACGAAAAGTTGACCTCAATAGCAAGTATGGTGAGGTGATTAATTTATGCCTGACATTTACTCGTCACCAATCGGAGATCTCTATGGGAAAAGACCACACAAGCTTGTGGCAATGGTTTGAGATCATGTTTGATCTTATGAGTCTCGATAATATTCATCATCATCTCGGTTATCATTTGCTTGTTGAGGCAACAATCTTAACCGTATTAAAAAGATGATGATTGACAGCACACAAATTTACTTTAAATCCAGACGCAAGGCGTTTGTACAACAGCTTCTTGTGCCTCGCCACAGGAACATCTTGAAGACTCCGAGGGCGACAGTTGTGTTCCTCGAAAAGATTTGCTCAAGGAAGACGCACGTAGCTTGCCGATCTACGAAGCAGAGTACATACTTCATTCAATTAGACAAAAATTAGATTTCTCGATAGTCCATACCATTTGCTATGTGAGTAACACTTTGTTTTCCAGTGCTGAGTTCTTTTGTTGGTATTTCCTCTGCATTACCATTCCGAACCACATCTTCTTTCCTATCCATTTCCTCCCCCTGGTTCCTAGTTTTAATCCACTGCCGTCCTCCTCAATATCAGTTTTCTCTACTGTCCTTTCCAACACCTCCCCCACGACATGGAATCCCCATTTCTTCCCCTCCTCTACCACTTCTTCAATCTCATAGATATAACTTTCGCCTCTAACTTTCGTCTTCTTTCCTTCAATTTCGTCTCTAAATCCAGCCTGAGACAACCTGCCCATCTCAGCGTGCATATTGGTGATTAATACTCTTCCGTTGTTCACATTCGAATCTGGTTTCAGTAGGAAGGTCACAGCCGAGAAAAACTTATCAAGGGGGAGATGTTCAAGGACGAGAGTACTAATCACCATATTCGCTTGTCCTTGGATTGAACTCAAAATGTCGGGATTGGATTGAACATTAAGGGCGTTGAATTCGTCGAATTGGATGCTAGGGACATGGCTATCGTTTTCCGAGACGCAGAAGCTGCAACGGGACCGAGCAATCTCAAGCATTGCGGGCGAGAGATCAAGAGCGTGGATTTTAGAGAACTTTTTGGAAAAAGGTGGTGCGAGGAACCGGATAGTATTTCGGCCAGTGCCACATCCTAGTTCGGTGATGGTGATATTATCTTGAACTTCTGATGGGATGAAAAACAGCGTCTTCAATAGAGAAGGGATGAGGGCAGAGTCAAGAATTTGTAGAGGGTTATGGTCTGTGTCGTAAGTTGCGGCCCAACGGTTATAAAGGAGGTATGTGGAAACTGATTCCTGGTGGATGGTGGATGGGCCTGGTGTAGGCATCTTTAAAAGATTTGATAATTGCTGAAGAACTGAAGAACAAATCGTACAACTTTACAAACAGGAATACAGTGATGTACATCGGTTATCGAGTAGAGTACATAATAGGGGGGTGGTAAACATGAGTCATCCGGAGAACATTGTGCTATGATAGGGAAGCAGCTATGCTATGATAGGAGCAGCTAAAGTATCGACACGTGATACAATATTATTTAAAACCCCAATACATCGTAGTGCCTTCAGATTCTCATTATCTCGAGGACTAGGGATTGTGTAGTTTTGCAAACGGAAAAATGAGAGAGGAGAAAGGGTGATGGCTCTATTCTTTGCGACTACATTAGTTCTCGGAAACTACCGAATTTGACGATTTTTGATTGGACAGTGAAGGGGTTATTCAGAAATGTAGTGAAGCCTTCGATGCAATATATTTGAATATATGCATCAGTCTGCACTGCATGAAACGCCACTGTGATACCGATTTGTAGCAAGATGTTGTGGAAAGCATAGTATGTATACATACACCTCATTTTGAAAGTCGGAAGAAACGATATGGTGGGATAGAATCTATACATAATTTCGACCAAAGGGATCTAGCTGGTAACATTACTTCGCGCCACTTGGAACTACGACTGCATATGTAGGTATTGAACGACGCGTCTAGTCTTGATGTCACAAGAGCAATTAGATGCATAGAATGAATGTAGTTTGATTAAAAATGAGGTGTATATATATATGTATATACGCAGTCGATGACTTAGCTAAGCTACTATTGTGCTACTAAATGCATTAAATCCACAAATCACACAACTTCTGTATTCATGTATCGTATGTATTTTAATTTAATATAAAACTTGAATCAAGATCGGATGACTGGTTTTTATTTTTTTTTGATAGCTTCATTGGTTCTCCTCCAACCCTTTAAAATGGGTCAGCATTTTGTACCACCAATACAAGCAACAAACGAAGAGAGTACGGAGTCGAAAAAAAGAATCCAAGCAAAATAAGTTGACATATATTCCCTAGTCAGCACGGAGGGACGGTACGGTACCTAGTACATACATACATATAAACAAACAAACAAACGAGCAAACGAGCGGACGAGCAATATAATACGATACGATACGATACGATACGATACGATATGAGATTGATCTTCACTCTTTACTCCAATTGATTTTATACACCTGTTTTTGCTTCTTCTTGTTGTTTCTACAGTTAGTTATATTAGATCAATCACTTAAGTCTCAGGACTCGTTGCTCTTGAAATCGAGCAATAATTCGAGATAATACATATACATACATATATACATACATATATACATACATATATACATACATACATACATACATATCTTTTCATCTTTTCATCTACTCTTGAACTGTGCATCTATCGTATCTTGTTCTTGTATATTTTATTCCTATCCTCTTTCTCTTTACATCTACATACACTCACACATAATTTCAATGTTAATGCCAATTCCATTCCCATCTCGGATTTCCATCGCCCAATTACTTTCATGTCATAATATATGATCATTTGAGTTTCATATCGTACACCGTTTTATGCGGAGTACACCGTTGAACTAGCTATCTATTCTTAATCAACTGAAAACTGGATCTTTCTGCAGTCTCACAAATTGCCGGTTCATCACATCTCCATATTCACTTCATTTCACCCGCCACCTTGATATCACATCAATCCATTTTCCTGGGATCAAAGAAGAGTTCCTAGATAGGAAATCGCAAGCAAAGCTCGAGCCAATTCGATTGACAGTCTCTCTTTACTTCTTTTGCAGTTACCATTCATCCACCTCTCTCACTTTGTTGAATACAATCTCTACCCAAGTACGACGACGGATTACTCTCGAGCATTCAACCTTTGGAAAATCTGTTGCGAGCTCTAATATTTTGCTTGATTCTCATTCAATCTGCCATTCTGCGAATTGCAAGATCTCTACCAAAATCGAACGTTCAAGAAATACATCGCGGATATGCCGATCAATGGCAAGCCCAATGGGCGATTTGAACTTCCTGCTCTCAAATCCTTTGACTTCAATTTGACAGACGGGACCGATATCCCGCCGCCCCTTCCAGATTCTCCAATAGAAGAAGAGGCACCCAAACCGACTATTGCATCCACACCTGCACCTGCACCTGCACCTGCGGCATCGACACCTGCAGCCACTCCTCAAACCGCCGATCCTGTTCGAAGCACATCTACTAGTACCCCTCCAGAGTCAGCATCGCCAAATAATCAATCAGACTTTGCTCACCTCACCACGACGAAATCCAATGGTTATTTCCCACCTACCTCCTCATCTCCTCGCAATCATGTTCCTCCAGTTCGCGTGAGAGCCCCTTCAGACGCTGCTGTCCCGAATAGTCCTAGTCGACCCGAAAAAGAAAGTAGTATCCGCAAATTCTTGTCTCGGAAATCACTCAACACCAATTATACAAATGGGAATGCGAAATCGCATGAGGATTTAACAAAGATGGGGAGACCGGAGAGTCCAAATAGTCTTGCAAGCAGCAGACCTAGCTTTGTGAAGCGAAAGAGTGGAAGCTGGTTTAGGAGTTTTGGGAGCAGCAGTAAGAGGAACAGTGTGGTATATGAAAATAAGCCTGTAGTGTATACTCCTACCCTACAGCAGAGTCCAGAGATTCGAAAAGAGAATATCAAGCCAGCATACACGAAGCCTAGCCCGCCGCCGCCAAAATTGCCGGAACTCGATCAATTGAAGGCTAAGCTTGCGGATGATGATCGTGGTAGTTTTGGGGGTGATGACATGTTCAGGAATATCTCGTAGTCAGATATTCATGCGAGACGGTTATGAGAATCCAAATGATACCTTTGGGTGTTGCTATCTGTTACGACCCAAAACTCGCTACAGCACTGGTAGAATGCTCGGATGAGATCCATACTCATATCTCCAACGATACGGACTGAGAGATGCGGAGGGGAGGGCACGAAAGGGAAGCAGGAATCCCATGTACTATGAACCAAGCTTGAGAGGGGGACAAAAATGCTATTTTATCTTTTCATTTGTTTGGCAGGGCGCCCTTCTTTTTATCGATGATATCTCTGGGCGGTGGTCTTTATCGGGGTCTTGTTTTACGCTGACTACAGTATCAAACAAAACAACATTTTAATGTTGGCTTCATGTGCCATGATAGTTTATTCTTGGGGTATCAAAATACTCTTATCTATTAGCCTTTTCTGAACAAAATACAGTAGGGGATTTGCATGGTCGGAGGGCCCTTTTTTACTCGAATAAGATATTGATTTTCTGTAATAGCACTATGTAGTGAAGGCTTCTCTCTCTCTCTCTGTCTCTCTCACTCTATATGTGTGTGTGTATCTCTCTGCTTCTCTTGGTCTCCCCCTTTCCCATTAACCCACCATTGATCTCATTTATCTGAATGACGCCTTTTCGTATCTTATAGATACCTATCTATAGATATCTATAGATTGTATGTGATGTATGATTGATTGTATTCCTTCATCCATTGATGTTTCATATCAATATGCATTATCATCAGAAACTCTAAATCCCTACCTCGAACCTTCTTTTCCCCATTTTGCATGATGGTGTTTGAGAAAAATGGCCAAAATACCAAGGGCTTTTTTTTTAATTTTAATTTTAATTCTCAATCTAATTCAGGGTCTCGTCTTATCATCATTTCATTTCGTGCCTGGAGCTACTGAGTATCAAGCTAGATCCCGCGCCACGTGCTATCTGGAACACTGAGACACAGACACTGTAGTCACCCTATAAGTGTGACATTATATGACATTATATGACATTATATGACATTATATGACATTATATGACATTATGTGAGGCTATGTGAGGCTGAAGAGGGTTCGATTTCGGGGGGTATAGTGGGAGGGAAATCCCTGTATTTACAAGCTTTGTGGCCCTGTGGCTCTGTGGCTTCTGTGCTTCTGTGCTTCTGTGGTTCTCCAGCTGTCTAACAAGGCTGGGCTGGGTCACCGGGTGCTTGTGATGCACTAATGAATGGGAAACTTCGGCAATAAACGTCATAAACTTTTATCAAAGCCGCGGATGTATGGATACCTAAGATTGGATTTGATATGATATAATAAATGTGATGTGAAATAAATGAGTGGAAATATTACATTCATTAATTCTCCCATCAACCAATTCATCCTTTTCTTTTTCGTGCACACTCCAAATCATCAAACAAGATCCTTTGGAACGAATAATTGAACATGGCGAGTCCTGTTCAATGTAGAGCTTTAGCTAGCTCCGCCACAGCAATAAGCTCGAGAGGAGCTTTGATTTCTGGTGTGTTGAGCAAACAATGTAAACAGAATCGCTTGGGGAGCTTGGTGGCTCGCAGATATAAATCTGGTCCATATGGTTATACACAAGCTAAAGCACTTGTGTATTCTAAGTATGGGGAGCCGGCGGATGTCTTATCGTGAGTTCTATCCGTTGTCTATGTTTGCATGTGCATTTACCTCAAATTTTCATGAATATAGCTAATAGTAAGAAACTTCTAGTCTTCACAATCACTCTATCTCCCCTTCTCTTCCTTCAAAATCTATTCTCCTCCGTACTCTCGCGACCCCCATTAACCCCGCCGACATAAACCAAATTCAAGGTGTCTACCCCTCCAAACCTCCCTTCACCAGTCTCCTCGGGACCGAGTCTCCCTCGGCCGTGGGCGGCAACGAAGGATGTTTCGAAGTCATGTCTCTTGGTCCCGGCATATCAACTCTTTCGAAAGGCGACTGGGTGATTATGAAATCGACTGGATTTGGAACATGGCGCACACATGCTATAGCGGAGGAATCCCAGGTCCTTAAGATTGGCAACAAAGAGGGACTGAAGCCCATTCAGGTCGGCACTGTGAGCGTTAATCCGTGCACGGCTTATAGAATGTTAAGGGATTTCGAGAGTATGGTGGAGGGCGATTGGTTCATACAAAATGGTGCGAATAGTGGGGTGGGGAGAGCAGCCATACAGTTGGGGAAGAGGTGGGGATATAAGAGTATCAATGTTATACGGGATCGCGAGAATGCTGATGAGACTGAGGCGATGAAGAAAGAATTATTGGAATTAGGTGCCACGAAGGTGGTGACCGAGTCGGAATTGATGGATCAAAGTTTCAGGGATCAGGTTAAGGATTGGACGAATGGAGGCAGGGAAAAGATTCGTGTGGGATTGAACTGTGTGGGCGGACAACCCGCAGGTGCTTTGGTGAAGTGTTTGAGTAATGGTGGTCATTTGGTTACGTATGGGGGAATGTCTAAGAAACCATTGATGCTTCCTACTGCAGCTTTGATCTTCAAGGACATCAAGTTTAGTGGTTATTGGGTTAGTAGGTGGAGTGATAGTCATCCAGATGAGAAGAAGAAAACAGTCGATGAAATTTTGGAGATGACGAGATTAGGCATGTTTAAGGATATTCCGGTTCAAGAACTCAAGTGGGATTGGGAGACAAAGGAGGATGTGTTGAAGTCGGCAGTGAGAGGAACCTTGGAGGGATTTAGGAGTGGAAAGGGAGTTTTCATCTATGGAGATACGTAGATTGTGCTGGGGAAGAATGAAATAGAAAATTGTTGAGTGGTGATTTCTTGTTTTTGAGAGCGACTGTTGGAGCGCTCGCTCTAATAGAGACGGCTCCTTCTTACCTTTTACACCATTGTCAGCCCAGTCTTTTGAAAAAGGAATGATACAAGTTTTCATCAACATATCTGAGTCCAAACTTTCAAGCACATACCAAAAGTCGGTTCGGATCTCAATCCTCAGAAACTCGAGCGAGTATTACTGAAAATCTGCAAAATGTATGTTTGCTTATAGATTTCTGAATCTTGAGACAGCTAGCAGATTCCTGTCAATCAGAATGAAATTCCCTTGCGGATTGCTACGTTTTGTATTGCAGCGAAAACCATAGATTGTCTATCGTTTCCTTGCGCTCTCCTCTAGCGATGGAATGTATGAGTCTTAGCCTTGATGTCGTGTCTTGATCCTTGAGTCCATTCGGAAGAGAAGATGCGTGTCCTGCTTGAACCGAGTATGGTATGTCCTGGGTGAAAGTTCCTCCCGACATTGCTTGCGATTAATAACTTATCGAAGCCGTATTCTGCTATTCTTCAATCTGGGCCCACAGTCCAAATTACTTTCACACAATCCTATCTAAAATAGAACGAGATCATCCTTCTAATCGATTTGAAGCACACACAGTTATATGTGAACTGACCTGGAGATTATTATTCGATACCTAGTTTGTGCTGATTCAATCACGGTGCTTTGAAGTCGATAGGAGATTAGCAAATGTTTACTTCGGTGATACATTCAACTGTTAGTATGTGGATATATATAAGTCGATTCATAACGTGCCTAATCTGCTTTCATTCAAATGCCAACCACAGCTTATAGGTAACCCCAGCTAGAACAATAAACGAAACGCATCGAGAAAAACCAACGGATATCATCAGACCAATGGCTAAAGTCTAAAACTTTACCATGTCTCAATTGATCCTCTCCCTCTCTTCACACAGATTTATAATATACAACCCAGCGAGCTGCTAGCTAACTCCCTTGCTGATAAACGGAGATCGAAGAACCAAGATGGATTGCCCATTCTTACTCGGTCAAGATTCTTTGGGTATGCATTTAGCATTCAATAGCCACTAGGCAAGAGCAAATTTCTGTTTCCACTCCCATGACTCATGCGTTTGTCTCAAAATTAGAAATTCTTATTTTACACATGTCAAAACAAGGGGTTTCTAGGTAACAAGTATGTGACGAGAGAATGGTCATACTGCACTTCAGATTTTTAGAAAATTTTGTTGGATATGCACAAAACTTAAGAGAATAGTAAAGAATGGTATTAGTTTGATGGACTCATATATCATAACCCGCGACTGATTGTACAACCGCTGCGAATGAGTAACCGGTATGAACTTAGCTGGTACTTCACAAAGCAACTCGCATCAAACTTCAGATAAGTGTAGGCTTTTTCGTCAGACGAAGCAAATTATAAATCACATATTCTCACGAGCAATGCATTGCAAATGCTCAAGGTTCAAACACAAAACTCATGTTGAATCAACGTTATTGTTTTTGCGCAATGTTGTATAAGAACAAGTAAGCCACCACCTGCAACAGCCTCAATCTGTCTAACCCAACTTCACTGCCATCTTTCTTATTACCAATAGCAAATCACTTCCAATCTGCCCCTTCTTCACCTCCATCCACTTCACAAACATGAAAGTTAGAAAGATAAACCCCCCTCCCATCCCCATTTGCCCATCCTCCTAAAACGCCCACAAACCAGCCATGTATGCAGACCAAAAAACTCCCCAATTCATCCCTAGCAGTTCGAAATTGAACCTGATCTTAGCGAAGAGACTAGAAAAAAGAAGAAACAACACAAGATCAACCATGACGTTGGGCCGCATCTCTAAATGCTTCTTCCTGCATTGCCAACAGTTGTTCTGCTGTAAGACCCGATTGTTCGAGTTTATTTGCTTTCTTTTCTCTTCCCTATAATTTTGCTTAGTTGGTATGTATTCTACACATCCTGCAAGGGTAGATTAACATACCTTCAATTGTTCCTTGTGCTCACTCGCTACATCCACGATATCCTTGACATACTCGCTAAAGCCCAGTTGTTCCAAGGCCTTGGTAATATGTTCACACGCGATAGTTTTCTTGCTTTCCTTTTCGGAAATTTCATTCGCTTCGGACGAGATGAGCGTGATGAATTCGACACAGCATTCGATTAGGAGGTCGCGGGCGTCTTTGCCAAAGGCTAGACCTGAACTAGCAGGAAGAATTTCGGTTACTATCTTTTGAACAGTTGCTAAAGAGAATAAGGGTTAGTAAGCGTTTAAAGGAGGAAACGTAACATTGTTGAATGAGGATGACGGCGGAGTTATGTCTAACTCTTGGGTGCGGCGAAAATTTGTCGTCAGATGGCTGTGCCTGGAGACCATGTACCCGGGTCATTGATTGTTTCCGGAGGTTGCAGACGAGGATGTTGATTTGTGGTTCTTTTGATTGAGAAATCAAACCCAGGCTTAGAATTCCCATCCTGCCCAAGGGTCCTAAATGACTCGAAAGTGGGATTGGACCTGGTATATGGCGGTGCCATGTCCGAAAAGCTATTTAAGAAAGTCTCTCCAGAATTCTTACAAGTTTCCGACAATTGCGAAACTCTGTAGAGATAATCTGAGATCTCAAATGGTACTAAGTTTCGCAACGCCGAATGTACAAATGCAATATGCCGTCTAGCCTTCTCTTCTTCGTTCTCTTGTGAACAAGGCGTTTTAAAGATGGATTCGCTAGCCTGCAGACTTGAATATCCTGTGGAAAGCCTGACGACAGTACCGCTATGAGGAATTCCGTCCTTGTGATCTTGACCGCCTGTATCTTTATGTGGCTGATCTTGTGCGTGGAAGACGAGTTTTATCTGTGCAGAGACTGTCGGAGAAGAATCGTTGCCATCGATTGTACCATTAACTTGAGTATCGGCCAAAGAACTTTCACCATCCGAATAGGAACCAAAGCAACGATCAAGGACTGGATTGCAGGGGTCATTCTCTGTCACTTGTGGTAGACACGAATGCTGTTTCGTTTTTGGATAGACAATAGAAACTGGTCTTGGAAGAATCCGGCCTCGGATAGCATTCCTCCTTCTTGGGAGCATAGTGGCACTAAGGCTCGATGTTCTCGGACTAGGGACTGGCTTAGGACTTCTTTTGATCCCAGTAATTTTTGTCCGCTTCGATTTGTAGATACTGGAGGGAATGGGATCGATTTTCCAGAGTGTAGAACGATTAGATTCAGGACAAAGTGACCTAGAAGTATACCTTCGAGAAGTTGGATAGTCCCCATTGGAGACATGAGTCCACGAAATGTTTTGTTGTAGAGGATCCATAAATGCGCTGCTAATATGATGGGTCTGTTGATTATGAACTTGTGTCGGAACTATGCCAAAATTCTTCTGGTGGTAATTTTGGCGAGTTGCAGAACGTGATCTCGAAATTGACATGGAAACCTCTTTATGCCAAGTTCGGATATCTTCCAGCACTTTCTGCACATATTCGAGACGTTTGCCACTGAGATCAAGTCTAGAAGAGGATCTTGATGAATCTGAAGTCTCGGGTGAAGCTGAAAGATACCCCGAAGCCGAACACACTTTCTCCATGTTCTTCAATGATGACTCGAAGGCTAGACTTGATGTTCGTCGAGGAATGGTTATACCGTTCGCCCACAACGGATGTTTCTTATGCAAATAATGTGACCTATGATATGAAGATGGGAATGGGATACAAGTTAAGCTTAAGTCACTATGGTGATGATCTGATTCATTGCACCGAAAGTAAGAAGCTTTTGAAGTAGTTGATGAATTCCACTGCTTAGGCGAAGGGCTGACCTCTGTTTTATGGCAGAGGGCGCACTTTTTGCATGATGATGCTGATAACGTAAGATTTAAGGATATATCGTAGTCGCCAATGGAAATTGGTGCCTTACTCACTCCCCTCGTGCGGGAAGAGCAATCGCATTCGTTGTCCATGGTTACGGATAATAATGATGATGATGGGAATTGAAGAAAAAGAAAAAAATGTTACCTTTAGGAAGTGAAAGATCATCGTTACCTGCGAAGAAAGTGCGTCAGTTAAGTCCATTTGAGTTCATGTAGCGGAATGCAGCAATATAAAGGAAAAGGAAGGTACTTGGATTGGTCGCAGTCGGCATCTTGATTTTGGTTTGAGTATGAGTGTTTGGAGGGATTTGGTAGAAGCTCGAGTCGCAAGTTTGTCTTCAACTACTAAAGACTCTCCCATAGATACTTCTTTAAAGATAACCATTCAAGCCACTTGTTTTATAAGAGCTCTTTCCTTCGAATCACCCCGTACAGTACTAGGTCACGTGATACAAGAGATTCACTCGACTTACTTGAAAATTCCCTGTCGGACATTTTGAAGGGAAGTGAACAACAGATGGCGCAATAAAATTTATGAATGATAAAGATGAACCAGCCAGTTTAGTTTCCGAATTATTTTTTGATTGGTGTCAATGAAGAGCAATGATCTTCTTTTGATATACACGTGATACTGTATTTGTAAGCAGAAAGTGAAGTCAAAAAGTTCCAGAGTCGCGTTTTGTCTGCGGGAACCTCTGGATTTATCATGCCCTTTTGTATGCACCCGCGACGCAAAATGGCAACTCAAAATCGCACTAAGCGTCATTAGGGTTACTAAGCGAAAAATTTCGAAAGATCCAAGAAAAAAATATGTAGACTTCGTTCGAACAAAGCAAGCAATATCTAGGTACGTACTGTATAAATATATATGTCCCTCATGGATATCTGATTTATTTAATTCTGCCACGCTGATACTTATCATTCAACGAATACAAGTGAATACAATACAAATCAGTACTGTACCTTCTTCATTCCGTATCCGTATCTACCAATAATGGCCTTCACATCAATAGAAAGTGGCAGCTGCGGAAAAGACGCGTCAAGGCAAGTACTTCAACTGGTACTCTAGACGCAATAGTATTTAATACACCTGGAAGGATATGCAAATCCTTCAATCCTTCTGGTCTCCCGATAGTTTGGTATCGTACAAGATAAATGTACAAGAACGCGCTCAATATAGTCGCTAATGTCATGATACCCCTTCCCAACCTCGAAACTCCATGAATATACATTTATGATAAAAACTCTTATGATCATCACTTATTGGACACTCGTGGGAATCTTTACTTGTCCCCTCTTTCTATCCATCAAAGGTCTTCCATACCTCCAACCTGTTCCATGTGCTCCTCTACCATCTTTACCAATGTCGTCAACATTGATTTCCTTGATTCTAAATTCCCATCGAGGTGTGTTGACTTTCATTATTTTGGCTTCTTCCGCTGCTTTGCGATCAGCTATACGTTGCCTCACTTGTTCTTCCGCTTCATCTCGCGCATCTTGTCGCGCAGTTCGTTCATCTCGAGACAATCCAGCTTTGAAATCTTTATGCATCTCAATCAATTCGGGATGTGGTATTCTTTGGTCTGCGGGGAGAAGTTTCTCGTCGAAAATCTTCGCAGCATCCTCTCGGGTAAAATGTCTTGATTCTGAAGTGGGGTGAAAGATTTGTTGTCCCGTTGCTACGTGAATAGGTAAGTCATTAATCGATTCATGTGTGTTTTTGCCAGCCCCGGTATTGAGTTGCGTTACAGGGACCATTGACATGACTGCGTCGGCGTATGGTCTCGCAAGAGGTTTTCCCTAGCACAATGAATATTAGCTTATTTGTGGTTGAAGAACAATACCAAAATAAAACACAAATGCAAATAACTTTCAGAGAGGCTCGCATGCATAATTTTGTAACCATGTAGTTGTCTTGAAGACTAATCGAATTTTATAAATCATCACAAAGTAAGTTAGGTTGTTGAAAAAGAAATCTTGACATACCGCTCGTTCCCATTCTTTCTCTATCTCCTTCAAACGTACGACTGCTCCCACGCGGCTCATTTCAACTCCAAGTTCGGCACTGACTTCTCTCACCGACTTAGCATCCTGCATTATTTTTGTCCAAATGAGCTCTCGTAGTTCTTCGCTCAACACCGATTGACTTATAAACTTTCGATTGGCCGGGAAAGGTACCATATCTCTCGAGGTTGGTGGCGGCAATTCCTTGTTGCCATTTGCATCAGGCTCATTTTGACTGTCGGGCTTTGGAACACCATCTTTTCGCGCATCCGCCGCAGCTTCCACGACTCTTTTTAATTTACCATCGGCATTGTAGGCACCCATGTAATTTGTTGAGTTGTTTAATGGGTTTCTGAAGTTCTCTCCTTGTGTGCCAAGCCACCTGAAGAGCGATCGCCTTGCTCTGGTAGCTCTTCGTGCATTTTGTGGAGGGGTCAATGAGAAGGATCGTGAAGGTACTTGATTGAGAAAGGACTTTGCATAGGCAGATCCAGACGCGAGTAAGTTCGGACATCTTGAAGAAGGATTCATCATAAAAACAACTCAATTGAGGTAGTGAAGAAAGAGGATTGAGGGTGGTTGATAAAAACCGTGGGGTCCCTCAGTGAGGAAATTTCTAAGTTACACTTGGGATTAAAGCTCCAAGAAAACGCTAAGCGAAATGGTCACGTGTCTACATGATCTTGAGGCATTTCTCGGATCTGATTGCTATCCTCCCCGTCTTCTAAGCAATTTTGTGAACAGCCGGTGACTCTATGGTCAAGTTCTTACGAATCCTTTCTACCTCATCAATTGTAAGACCGCATTTCTCTATTACGTATGATTCGGCCCCACCAAATTTCTCACGGAGCATCTTAAGAGTAGCGAGCATGTTCTCAGCTCTAGCTTTTGTTAGCAACATATCTTTTCAAGGGAAAGTATTACATACTTGGAGCTAATTAAATTTTCTGCCCCTTCATGATCATCTTTGATGGCTGGGTGTGTCATTAAATGCTCGATGATTCCTGCTTTCCACTCTTGCGGAAGTCCAAATGTTGTCAAACTATATTCCCGTGCGACAACCTCGTCGTCAACTCCGCAGAGAGATAAGATCAATGCGCAAAGAACACCAGTTCTATCTTTACCAGCTGTACAATGAACGATCAATGGCTTGGAAGGTTCATTTGCAAGGTGGAGAAGAATAGTTCTGTATGAGTTTGGAGCGTTGTTCAAGATATCGGTATATGCCCGAGTGAAACCCTTCAGAATGCCATTTAGCTATATTTTCTCTCCACAGCTTCTAATCCAGAAAACCTACTTCGGTACCCTTTGAGGCATAATCCTTAAATCGGATGGCAATTTTTTCCGGGCTATAGTCCTCCGTCGGGAATACTGGTGCGAAGACTCGCTGACAGCCCTCCCACTCTACCACTCCACCCCTACCAGCGGCCGCATTTTTAACAAGCTCATCTTGAGACCTCAAATCGTAGATATGAGTAATTCCCATCTGCTGCATAGTAGCAATCCCCTTCTCAGTAACTCTTTGAGGCTCACCACAGCGATAGACAACTCCTTGTCTTACGGAATGCGAAGTTGGTCCCGATGCGAGTGGATATCCGCCTAGATCTCGAAAGTTGGGAATCCCTTCGACGGTTATGAACGGAGGCTCAAGCGCCTTTTCGTGAAGAGTTGAAGACATGTTCAAGATTAGAGAACTATTTCGTGAATGCTTTCCTGAACTGTAGATCAATAAAATAATTTGTATGTTGGTCAGATAGACGTGACTACAGTATATGAATTTAAACGATCAAGGCTAGCCGAGGCGACTCATAACACCAGCACCCCGGTGTACTTCATTGCCACGACTGAGCCCCCATTATCAACCAACGTTTCATTCGGATATTCACAATACATCTTGGGTAAATATCATTCATCAAATCACCATAGATTAAAACTTCATATCTGATGCTTACTAGGTATTCTTGTGAAAAGTAACTATCCATCATCTCTTAATCTGACAACAAACTGCGAAAATCGACCAATCTCGCCACTTAAATTCCTTACGCATGACTTCAGAATCCATTCATCCAAATATTGATCCCCACAACATTGAGCCTATCGTCATGCCTCACAGAGAGCCCAATACCCCGGAGCCGCAAACACGGGACTCTGCAGAGCGTGTAGCTCGCATACGGATTAAAAATCGCAGGAAATTGTACCTTGATCGCCATCCATCATATTTCACTGCCCCGGACCTAGAGCTTGCAGGTCAATTGTTGCTATATTAACCTAGACAACTTGATAACTAATCATATTCAGATCCTTTATTATATGACCGATGCATCAGGAGATTCCAGACTGCCGCGGAAAGAGAGGCAGATGGACGAGCAAAAGGTTATTCTGGTAGGCAAATCTTCAATGATTTCGATCGTCTTTAGTTCTTCTGATGGTAATAAGTATCTCTACTAGGTGTATTGGAAGCAGATCTATATCGATCAGAAGCTAAGCTTGCTGCATTGAAGGGCAGCTCTGATTCGCGCCCTAAGGATGAAGATGAAGGTGTTGGGCGCATTCAAGAAGATCACGGGGTTCCATACTTGAGCTATGCCAGAGGTCAAAGTGGTGAAGTTTTACCTGAAGATCCGGATGAAGTACCGAGGAGTAAGGAGGACGGCTTCGAGAGATGGAAGTTTGAGATGACACTCAAGTTTCTTAGAGGGGAGGATGGAGATTTTGATTATCAAAATGTAGATGCTGGCGGGGAATGGGACGAGATTGAAAATAGGGACGTTGAAGAGCGATGGTTCGAGGATGAAGAACCGGAATGGTTAGGGGAAGAAGAAACTGGGGAAACAGTTGGTGGAGAAACTGGGATACAGGATTTTTAGATGGTGGATAATACCATGATACGCATCCTTCATACGATTGACTTGGAAGAATTATCATACAGTATGGCACTTCTTGATTAGACTGAGCAAATAACGAATATGTCTTGGCAGATACGCAAAGCTTTCACACTTTCGAACGTTGCAGGTGTCTAAACACGTGACTGATATTGTCAGTAGATTTATTGTTCCAGAATAGATTCAATATTTCCATGTAATGCACGGTTTTGATGGATGAAAAGGGTTCACTGAGTGTACAATGTATTCGTTGTCTTCCGGATTTGGAAAGTTGTATTTGCGTGCGTGGAGTAGCGGATTCACGGTACCATAAGCTTCCCTAGGTAGGTAATTTTATTAATTCGATATTGAGCAAGATATATGAATCTAATACAATGTGTTTCAACATAATGCGATCTATCTTTAACATAGGGGAGTCATGGTAACAGAAGTATGGATGTTTATAGAGAACATGTATCTAATACAAAAAACAATGTCAAGGGTCACATGGACTAAATCATTCACCGTCTCGAAGGTTATCGCCTTTATCGATAAGAACATCATCATAAGGCTACTCTACCATTGACTCAACCGTATCCCACATACATATAAAATCCAACCCGCATTCAACCTTCCGGATTCCTTTCAACCCATCCAAATAAAATCATAAACGATAGATAAATCTTGAAAATACCATCAAGATAAACATCTCGCAATACCCTTGAGACCCCGCTCAACGTCAAAGGAAACAACCCCGCCATCATGAACTTCCTCCACAGTACTCTCGATAGACTTCGAGAATTTACCCCCGTTTCTAATACCTCAACCTTTCGCACCAATGGTCAGATCACACCAGAAGAATTTGTAGCAGCTGGAGATTATTTGGTATTCAAGTTTCCAACATGGTCATGGGCTGATGCATCCCCAACAAGCAAGCGCGCCAACTATCTACCAGCTGGCAAGCAGTTTCTAGTTACCCGTGGCGTGCCTTGCCATCGCAGACTCGATGATGATTTTGCAGGCGATGCAGGTCATGATGAAACTGTTGTTAGAGATGGGGAGGATTTCAGAGGCGATGGTCCTCACTCTCCAGGCGATGATGAAGATGGTTGGCTGAGGACTGGAGGATTGGCCGCCAGTCAAGAAGCCCGTGTGAGAGATGTGCGAACAGTAGATGAGAGCGGTGAAATGGGCGAGAGAGAAGATGATGAGGATGATATTCCAGATATGGAGGATGACGATGATGACGATGAAGCTATTATTCGTGACCCTAAGGCTGACAATGCAAGTTCGTAAGTATTTCTAGAGCTTAATCTGATGACTGGATACTAACAGTTTATTTATCAGATCTCGTCGAACATATACCATCTACATCGCATACACACCCTATTACAGAACCCCTCGACTATACCTCTCAGGATATCTCTCAAGCTCCCAACCCCTCCCACCACACCTTATGATGGAGGATATCGTAGGGGACTATAAGGACAAGACCGTCACTTTGGAAGACTTCCCATACTTTAGCAACAACATCAAGATGGCCTCCATCCATCCTTGCAAACATGCCAGTGTTATGAAGACCCTTCTGGATCGTGCAGATGCGGCCTTAAAGCTTCGACGAGAGAAGCAAAGACAAGGCAAGGCAGTACCGGGTTCTAAAGATACCGGAATGGAGGGCCTAGTTGACGATTTCGAGAAGACCAAAATTGGTGATAAGAAGGCTGTCCTCGAAGGTCTGAAAGCTGGTGGGAATGGCAACGATGAGTGGGAGGTATTGCAACATGATCAAGATTTTGCCAATGAGGAGGAAGAAGTTGCTATCCGTGTGGACCAATATCTCGTTGTATTCTTGAAGGTCAGTTATTTTGCACCTCTACTATAGTGAATTATGCTAACGAAATCCTAGTTCATGGCAAGTGTGACACCAGGTATTGAGCACGACTTTACTATGGGTGTCTAAGCGGTGATGTCTTTGTTTTATGCGCAAGCTCAGGATGATGGGAAACGGCTTTGGGGAACTTATTTTTGATTATTCTTCGATCTGCAGCGAAACGGAGCAATCCTTACGAGGAGTTTGGAGCGTTTCGGATAGTTCTTTGCACTAATAGCACCACATATCATAACATTGTAGAGAAATTAGGATTTGAGTAACAGGCATCTGTGCTCATTTTGTGCTTGTGATACTTATGTTTGAGTGATACTAAATCGTCATATAACAAGGAGTGTTTTCTGATAATCATAAAATAGATGTGATTAGACTACTGGATTCATTTTGAACGCCAGGAAGCTTTTGAAATTTTGGCTGGATGTTTTAACGATGATTTCTGTTCAAGGTGGCTTTAGCCATGGGATACCAAGTCGTTGTTAAACAAAAAAGACCCACCATGAACGATTTGACACGGGGTAGACCCTCAACTGTCTGGAGATCATGGCAACAGTTTTTGGGTTTCGAGATGTCGGATTAGTTTAGAAAAGTAGATCATAATAAAACACTCACAAATTCACATTTACTTATATCCAAATTAGTATGGCACGGGTTCAAACAAAGGTCTTATTGGTATATTTGCCAGGAGTATGCTATTTAATACACGTCCTCCACCCCTCCCAAACTCAGCCCATCATCCTCGTTATCACTTCTAAAAACTTTCATCTTCTTACAATCGTAACATCTTGGCGACATAGTTCTCAATCAACTGCTCGTTAGGGAAACTCATATCTTCCAACTTTTGAGCATACGGGGTTGGGACTTCGGCACCAGTAATTCTTTGGGCTGGAGCATCGAGATAATCGAAACCGAACTCCATGGTCAAGGCAAGTAACTCAGCGCCGACACCGAAGGCTGGGAAACCGGACTCGACAGCGAGGAGACGGTGGGTCTTTTTAAGGGAGGTCATGATGGTTTCGACATCCAAAGGCTTGATGGATCTGAGGTTGATAACTTCGACTTCGACGCCATACTTCTTCTTAAGGTTCTCAGCTGCGACGAGAGATTGTCCAACACAGCGGGACAAAGTGACGATGGTGAGATCCTTTCCGGCACGCTCAATCTTGGCCTTACCGAATGGAATAACGAAGTCATTCTTCTGAGCAGCCTCGCTCATTGGGAAAGATTGACCGTACAACAATTCGTTCTCGAGAACGCAGACAGGGTTGGGGTCGCGAATGGCAGCTTTAAGTAATCCTTTGGCATCCTCGGCACTCCATGGAGTGACGACCTTGAGACCGGGTATGCTTCCGTACCATGCAGAGTAATCTTGTGAATGTTGTGCTGCGACACCAGATGCGAAACCGTTGGGTCCGCGGAATGTGATGTTACAGGGTTGAATACCACCGGACATGTAGTGAGTTTTGGCGGCGGAGTTGACAATTTGATCAATAGCTTGCATTGCGAAGTTGAAAGTCATGAACTCGCACTGTGGAACCGGGTTTTAGCCATTACTCTCTCTTATCTCGATAGACTTCCAGTGGAAGGCGAGGAAATGGAGAAAAAAAGTCCTTACCACAGGATGTAAACCTGCCAACGCAGCACCGACGGTCAAACCGCAGAAACCCGATTCAGTGATGGGAGAATCAATAACTCTCTTTTCACCGAAACGATCCAGTAAACCCTTGGTAACCTTGTATGCGCCATTGTACTGAGCGACTTCCTCACCCAGAACAAAGACCTTTGGATTTGACTCCAATTCTTCGGCCAAGGCTTCGTTCAAAGCCTCTCTGACTGTATATTCCTTAACACCACTCTCCTTTGCGTATCCTCTGCTTTGCACAATGGCCGGTAGACGGGAAAAAGATTGGAAGGCATTTCGTGTTGGGCGAGCTGAAGAAATGAAACGACTCGCTGGTCGTAGGATTCGTGACATCTTGAAGATGGGGTTGTGTGATAAGAAAGAAGACCCTCGGCGAAGAAGTTCAAGAGAAGGAGGTGAGGATGTGAAAGAATGGAGAAAAATTGACAAGCTGCTAGGGATTCTCACGAACCTTCAACTCGAGTGGCACGTTGGGACTTTTTGTTCAAAGCTTACAATCCGCGCTCCGAAATGTTGATAGATAAGCTAAACTTGATTCGGATTAGCTTTCGGAAGCATTAGGGCGAGACTCAAGATTGATAAACCTCACTCAGAACATGCGTCAACACAATAAAATAATTTGATTAAAGTTTTTATATCTAAGAATTTCATGGAAATGGAAATGAGGGATATGAGGCTGGATGTTTTAAGGCTCTAGTGAACCTTCACATGGAACTCTCTATACAAAATCTGGTAGAGCTATGATAAGTTTCCGGGACGATCCGGAGCCTTTAACGATCCTGAATATATAGTGTATTCAGAGGGCAAAGAAAAGGGAATCTGAATATTCTTCACGGGAGTAACTTTCAGAGACAACGGAGTGTCTGTTGGGCAAAACGAGGGCTGGCATCGGTACGCGTGAATATGATTCTTCTTTGGCATTTCATTCAAGTATAAAGAATACATGAAATACTGGGCATCAGCAATGAACAAGATTAAGATAATCAATAATGTCATCGTTTTGTGTGTTGCTATTCTATAAAGCAAATGCATGCAGAGTGCTCAAATACATTGAAAATCACACTCGATTAATAGAACCTTGTCGCACCATGGCGAACAGGAGAAAAGGGGGACGTTCCTATCCTCAAAAACCCTTCTTCCTTCCATTCTAACTCCAACTTAATACCCAAATCCTTCTCCGATACCCTAGACAGTTCGTCAAACAGTCTTTCCAGCTCAGCGCCCCCTTCTTGTGACCCCGAGCAACATGGCTCCTTGCACTCATAAATATACAAAAATGCCCAGCACATCCCAGCCAGAAGTCTTTCCAAAAAGATTTTCTTTTCTTTCTCATTTGTCAAGCTCGTCCTCTTACCAAGGTCGGTATAGATTACAACCTGTGGCTTCCCTCTCCACTGCACAAATTCGCCGAATGTACCACTTTCTACCCCTGTGTCTTTTCGCAGAAGGCTACAGAGATCCCTCACCTTATTTGCAAAGAAGAGATCGTCAAAGAATTTGGCATAGGTATACATACGATATTCCTCGGTCGTTAGACAAATTGTGTATCTGCCCATGGTATTATGAATCGGTCGCCCTAGGTCTGCAAAAGTGTTTATAATCGGATGCTGCGAGAAAGTGGGTGAATCTACGTTGCATAGCAGAAGGTTGATGAGGTCTTTGCGTTTGTGGCTATTCGGTGAAAGATTTTTAATACTGGGGGTAGCTTTGTGCACTGTGTGAGAGTTGAGCTCTTTGGGTCCTGATTTGACCAAATATTGGAGTACTTTGGCCACAGACTTCATTGTTGGCATACCATAAGAGATAGGGAGCAATATAGGGGTGGCAAGTGTTCACATCGATGTTTTTATACAGATAAAATGAAGAATTTTAATCACTGTGAATGGTTCAGATCCTAGATTAGTTGCTCGTTGTAGTTGAGTGAAACTTAATAAGGAACCTGCCATGTTTTTCCGTAATATGTTGTAGTTTTCCCACCCTTTGATGATTCATCGAATAGAAACTGTTTCCAATCACGAAAGAACTTTCGTTGTTTCATATGTAAGAGTTACCACTGGAGAACTGCGTCGTTTTGTTAACTCCGATTCTCTTGAAGTGGTATACCATCAAGATCTGGAGATTGACATGAGTAAATAAGTCGTGTATGCTTGTGATGCTACTAGGTAGTTTCTTCCGGATAGTAAAAATAAAAGACGCATAAGATTGTAAAGGCCGGTTTCCTGGGTGGTATATTTGCGATCTTAGAAGAAATAATAGTCTATGTTTTACAGAGCTACCATGTAATATTCGATACATAACTGAGCTGTAAGATGGGAACACACTGTGAATTTTGTGGGAACACTATGGAGTTTATGGTTTTAATATAAGAATTGAGGGTATTTTCTTGGTTCAAGCCTCTGGACAACATCAGATGTACAGTTTTAAGATTGGTTATTTGATTTTGATTCCCTATGCGCTGCAAATCAAGACGCTCGAAATGAATGGATTGAATACACAGTCTTCCCTTGTCTAACAAGCGCCCTTGAAACAAGACCATGAATTTTATGTGGTACGGTTCCAGCAAAGACAATTGCCAAAAACTTTCCATGATCTCAATTTTTTAATGATTCTTCCAAGGTCGAGTTCAATTCACTGGTACGATGAAGAAAATCACGGCCACTAGGGTGATCACCTGCGGTAAGGTATGCGAAAATGCCGATAGATGCCCCAATCAGCAAATGGAAATATGGAAACCCTGTATAGTGTTAGTCTATACGATCTATTGTTAATACTTGAAGGATGGAAAAAGTTACTCACATTGTGGATGAGGGAGAGAGCGATGACGACGCTGGGCGAACCCAGGGAAACGATGATCGGCCAAATCATCTCCACGACGAGGAACTATAACTCGAGCGAAAGGGGTCTTCCAAAGATAAGAGCGGATAGCTCGGAGAGCCAAAAGAATTTCTGGATTTTGTCCGGGGTCAAAAAAGGCTTCTGTCTCCCATCCAAACAATACATAGATCAAGAAAGCCGTCGAATAAAAAACCAATTTTAAAGTGCGGTAAAATATGTTCCGGGTGCGAACAATTTGTCTGAATAAGAATGTTGTTGCATCGATTATCCCTCGGAGGGGAGCAAAGGCATTCAAGTGTAAAAAATTGTACAAATCAGCTAATTTCTGTCTTGTGTCTGCGAATAGTTGGAGAACTATTTCGTATACGCGCATAAAAAAACCGATTATTCTGTTGACGAATGGTAATTGGCGCAGTTGAGGCCTTGGGTGACGGTAATCTTGGTATTGCTCGAACAGCCAATAAGCATATAAAAGTATAGGCATTATGAGACCTAATGTAAACAAGATTAGAGTCAAAAATTGGACGAGTAGAAAGCGTCCTGGTGGTATTCGATCAACTATTGATCGCCAGATATAACCACCGAATCTGGTAATCTGACCATAAACATAAACGAATGGGTAGCCCAACGGTCTAAGTGGGCGAAGAACATAGACAATTAACCTGCAAAGCAATATAAATGGCCAAAGGAGAAACCTAAATGGACGGAAAACATATTTGGCTAGATGAGCCAATACACCGAGGAATCGACGGAACAAGCGATAAGCTGAGCGAAGTTTATGAAAGACATAGGTGAATAGACCACGTAGTCTGTTTCTTTGGGGGGGTACGGGTTCTTCGCGATTTCCCTGGGCCCAGGCTGCTATGTAGCGCCGTACAACTATGTAGAAACCCACGACAAGCACGGGAATTATTAGCGAACTGATGACGGATGACACCTTAGCTGGATCGAAAGATATCTTTAGGTATGAGTCAGACAAATCAGTAAAGGATGAACCGGAGAACTTGGCCACCAATGCTGCAATTGGCTTCAAAATTATAGTGAACGCTTTCGCTATTATCGGAAGAACAGAACCCGATATTGGTGCTTCAGTTTCTGGGGTAAATCCCGGCTTTTGGTCAGATGATTGCTCGGTGGTAGAGGATAAACCGCTCAAGAAACCTATCACCGGAGCCAATGGTTTCAGAGCTGTGTTCGCTACTGTCGTCAACGTCGGTAGAAGAGATTCTATCATTGGTGCTTTCATCAGTACTGACACTATTTTCGTTCCTATCAATTGAAAGGGGGTAAGTAACATCGTTATTGGCTTCATGACTATGGTCGTTATCTTCGTGACAACCGTCGAAGCAGGTTCTACCCCTATAACAAGTGTTCCAGGAATATATGGTTCCGGTGGTGAGAGTCCCTCCCACGCAGTAAGAGCTTCTACTGGAAGAATAGGTCCCGAAGTTGATCCCGTTAATATCTTCCCAAGCAATGACCCTTCTAGCGTTTCTGCCAGATTGAGCCCTGATATTACTTTTGCAAGCATTGATACAGACGTCATTTCCTTCGCATGCCCCTTCAGGTCCGAGTCTAGTATTCCCAAGCCCAGGTCTGTGTTCAAGGCTTCGGTTATTCGTTCTGCGAGTTCAGATTGTGTTAACGTTTTCGCCATTTCAGATCCTACAAACTGTTCTGCAAAGTCCGATTTTGCCAATGTTGCTCCTAGCTGTGCAGTTACTAGCCTCTTTTCAGTATCGGATCCTGTTAATATGTATCCAAGCAAAGACCCTTTCAAAGATTGCCCGATGGGTTCTCTTCCTACGAGCGATTGCCCAAATCCAAAATCTTCTATTGTTTCGCTAAGTTGCGACTGCTCTAGCATTTCAGCGATACTCGATAATTCTTGTTCTTTTGAAAGATTCGATATTTGTATTGCCTTCCCAAGTTTTGAACCTGTTAATACCCCTCCAAGTGTTGTTCGCGAAAGCTCCTCTTCCATTTTTGGGCTTAATTGGAAAGGCTGTGGAACATCATCATGTGTTCCTGGCTCTGGCTCTGGTTTTATCGAAACCCCAGGCTGACTTGGGTCGAGTTCTGGTATAATAGTGACGCTCGTATCGCCACCAATTCCAGAAATCCATTCTAACATCCAGTTGAAGGTTTCTGGGAGATTCAATAAACCCTCGAACATATCCATCACAATTTTCGGTACATCTGATACGTAGCCAGTAAAATCTATAAGCGCGCCTCGTACAGAATCTAACCATAACGACTGGCAGATTAAGATAACAATTATGAGTGGACGTATGTACAGTGGGGCTGGACCTGGCGCTCCTGCAAAACCCCTGCCGGCCAGATGATATAAGATGGCAGACGGAATAAACAAACAAAGGAAGCCAATTAGGAATCCCCATTCATCAGGTAGGAGATTCCATATTCTTGTGGAAACGACATATTCCGCGGTGGCATCATACAAGCCAGACATATGTTCTCTCCAAGCTGTGACGGAATGAAGGGCTAATTCCCTCCCGTGAGCAAGGGTTCCAAGCCATGGACTAAAAATGTTATGGAGAATAGTCATCGCTAGACCATACAATTTTAAGATCCCCAGCCAGCCAAGGATTCCGAAAAAGTATGAGGACAATGCATCTCGCCAAGAGTAAAATAGATTTCGAATATTAGGTAAAAACCACCAATCTACCTCTTCATCAGCTCCAAGGGAGAGAAGTTTGTAAAAGCCCCATGCAAGTATAAAAGGAACTCCCAGCGCCACCGCGTAAAACGGAATATTATAGAGAGCGGAATCAAAGAGCCATTTGTAAAACTTCCACACTTTTCGCCAAGTGAGCTTGTCTCCGAACATGCCGCGCAGTCTCGGAGGCAGTTTGGCCAAGTCTTCATCGCTGTAGACTCTTTCTAGCTTCCGGGGATCAGGCTCTTGCTTTTCCAATTCTGGTAACTCCAGATATATCTGTTCTGGACAGTCTTTAACCCGGACCGGGTCTGGGAACGGGTACCCTTCGACCTCAATATACGGGTGCTTTGCTAACGGGTGCTTTGCTTCTGTGTTTGAAGGATGTTCAACGTGCACATATATGACAAGTCTACATCTGACCAATTTAACCTGCTTTTCGAGCTCATTTAGAACTTTTAGGTCTTGTGGTGGCACAGGAATGTCTCCGAAAATATACCTCGACATGTCTGAGATATGATGTAAAGCTGGGTCGGCTTTGTAATGTTTCCAGAATGATAAAGGGAGGCAAGGAATAGTAGGGTGTGGCAAAGGCGTATAATCTTTCAAGGTTTCTATTTGAATATCCGTCCATGTCATGGAAGCAACCTCAACTGCTAATTCCGCAGCTCTTTCGTAAAGAATCTCAACTTCATGTTCATCGATTTTGTCAATGGTCGGCAGCCAAAGATCCTGTGCTTCGCTTCTCAACCATTGTCTTGCTCGAGCTTGTGCTACTCTCCGAATCTTGCCATTTGTTATGGCTGCGATGCTCTTACTATAGCTATACTCCTCTTGAGGCCTAAGTAACCTAAGGGTATGCGCCCGGAAGGATTTGGCGACATGCTGTTTTTGTGGAGATTCATCTATGCGAGACTGCATTAGACGGCATACTAGTTCATTTTGGCTGGTGATTACTTACGCTGGAGGAGATCATGATATAATTTGTCGACAGGATTATGCGGGCCGTCGACTGAACCATTCAAATTCTTTACATCATCCAAGAAGAAGAAAGGATTCTTCAAAATCGTTATCGCAATATGATGAAATAAGGACGCAGCAATCAAATCCTCGCGCAGATTTTGCTTACTATACCCAGAGAGAGGGGTACTATACCCAGAGAGAGGGGCTTCGGTAGCCTTGTGGCCAAAGATATTTTGGAAATCAATCAAGCCACGCAAGAAAGGCTTTGGTTTATGATAATAATCGATGGGAGGGTCTGAATTTTCGTCCCGCGCATGACTTGCGATTTGTTTTGCAATCGAGTCAATGCTGTGATTACGCCAAAACAAATCATTGTATTTCGGCTGTATGTCAAGCTCGTCGGATTCTTTCGGGGGAGCTACTTTTGGTGAGGTACCGTCGTAGCCACGCTCTGCATTGAACCATTGACTCAAATCTCCCCATGTTTGCTTAACAGGTCCATCCGATACAGCGTAATCATAAGCTGCATCGCCGAGATCGAATTCAAAATTATGCTGGCCAAAGTCTTGGGGATATGGTTTGGCCTTTTTGCCCTTGTAAACTTCCTTGATAAAATTTTGTAGCCCCGGACTTCTCAAGAAATCTGGTAACGGCTCGCGTTGCCATTCAGAACCCTCGGACTCTTGCATGTTATCGAGAATTGATTCGGGCGGCGTGTTGTTAAAGGTAACACAATGCCAGTTCAATTTATCAAATGTTTTGAAGCTTGTAAAAATCACTCGAATAAAGTAACATTTGGAGCTGTGCTCAAAGAAGTCTTTGTTGGTAGAATGCGGCCTCGAAATCGTTTCAATACATTCCTAAAACTAAAACTCTTGTTCTCTTTGATGAAGAGCGAAGCAACTTGGCATTGTGCCATCCGTCTTTCATACGAAGCTTTCTCTAGTGACCGGAAATGTTTAGATCGTCTGATTGCTGTGATTTGCGAAAGACATAAAGAGGAGCTGAGAGAAAATTCTGGCTAACGGATAAGTACGAAAGTATAGTGTCTACCATATTAGGAGCTCTCTGTCATTGTAGTACAAGACTATACCACTATAAGCAAAGGAAAGACATCGACGGGTAGACTGTGACGAATGTGGATTGGCCAATTTACTACATCAATGGTGGCCGTTTGTGGAGTGCGATAACGAAGCTTGAGTGAAATTGTTCGGAATTCCAGTAAAATCAGTTCTCTAGAGAAGATAGCAATGTACAGTTGCACGTCAGATGGCCCTATTTGCATTGTCCAACTGCTTACCGTCAGTCGTGCATATTGATCAGCCACTTTTTTTTTCTAAACAGCCAACAAACCATTGAAGATTTTATCTCGAAAGATTGGTCAAATACACTTCAAGTAGTTCAAGGAATATGTGAGATTCGAGTCTGACATACTTAACACAAAGAGCCCAGCAATTCAAATTCTGATCCCAAGAGAATATCGTGTATCAAGAACCAGGAACCTGACATCTGCGATATGTGGAGCTACGGTCATGTGCTGTCCGTAACTTACTCACTACACGCGAGAATTCTTGTTTTGATACAATGAGGTGCCAACTAGGCTACGTGAAAAGTATCCTGCATTCTCTGTATAATGGTATCAAATTTTAGTAAACGCCAAGATCCATACCCGCTCAACCCAATAACGCCTTGCCATCATGCCTCCCGACCCACTAATACAATTGTTCGAAGAAAACCTGAACTAAAACACCCTAAAGCCGTGTTTATTTCCCCAATAGCATCTTCAAAACCATGACTACTAAGCATAAAACTATCCCGGCAATAGCCCGATCGACCCATACGGGTACGCCTTCATCTGACTGAACACGAGCTTGTGCCATTTGTCTTTGAGGTTGAGGAAGTTGAGGAAGTGGTATCGTAGCTGTGGGTTGAGGCACCGTTTGCGCCGGCCTCGCAGGTGGATAGTCACTCTCAGCCTGTGCTGGCTTTACATCCTCCGTGGATTTACTATTTCCTTCGTCTTTCTCCTGGTTTGATCCCGTTTCCGCTCTAGTCTCATTCTTGAGCCCTATTTGCATGTCAGGTGGTACTGTCTCCTCTTCTCTGTTAGAACTTGTCCCTTCACCCTCGAGTTCCTTCGCAAGCTGTTCTGCTTCTCCTAAAATCTCCTCGCAGCTCCTTCCACCACAAACACCGCACTTCCACCCCCTACTTTCCCCTGCTATTCTCTTTCTAACGCTATCGCTCGCATCAACCCCTCCCAATTGCCCTGAAGGACTAGTTTCCATGAAGGATCTGAGAGCTACCAAGGCGGTTCGTATTCCCCACGCGGGCTGCCATGTTTCCTCATGATGCCCACTTATACTTAGACAGATCTCACGATTCACCTCAAATCTTCCACTCGGTGTCAGAAATCTAAAGGAAGGAGGTCGAAGAGGATATTGGGGAGGCAAAACGATGCGTCCGTGATAGATACCCTCGGCGAAAGATGAGGATGGAGGGCCGCGCAATGTGAAGTGCCAATCAAACAAATCGGTATCTGAAGCCGGAGAAGCTGTATAGTCTGGAGATGGATGTTGCGAGAGTTCGGCGGCTTCTTTCACTACGCCACTGATTAACACATGCGAGGAACGATCGTGGGGTATAGAATAGCTTACTGATGCGCTTCAACGTGGGAGATTTGGTATTGAAACCAGGCGCCATGATTGAGGATTGATCGGAAATAGTAATTGAACTTCTGGGCTAGAAAGAGAGGTTACCTGACCTGTTAACTGAAGGATCAATACGATATTTCAAGAGTCGTATGTGTGTAAATGAGTAATAGATTTCTTTTAAATAATTAGTGGCTGCTCAATCAACGCTATGGTGTAACTGGACAGGTCGATCGTAGATACAAGCGCGAACAGCACCAGAGCACATGCCGTAGATAACGATTAACATGCTACGATAAGTTAACGTGGCCTTGATAATGATTACATAATCGCACACTGGGTCCACCAGTCCACCAGATGGTCACACTTCTCACATGCCATCCATTTCATTCCTCGCCAGTTCAAATCTAAGAAAGGGGTTAGATGGATCAATATCTAATTCTACTATCCATCTGAAATGCGCTGCGCAGTCATCTATCTTACAGTCTAAGTGTACTGTTGGATTGTAGGATATAAGAACACGGTAGTATTACACAACTACGTAGATACATTATTAGAGTTGGGGCTGTATCTGGTAGCCGAATAGAGTTATTGTGAGCGTCACGGTATTGACTCGCTGTCAATCATTAAATCAAACTTTAGCAACATTGCGCTACATAGCTCACTTCGTTCCAAGTTTTCCATAGAATTGTTAGCGATCGTCGCATTTACGCATGGCGTCATATCATCGGGAACAAGGAACAGCTGTTCATAGTGTCTAATTGTAATGGTGTTATAGCTAGCTTTTCCATCATAGGTCATACTACATTCTAATAGTCCTTGCCCCTGGAGATTTAAAGGGTTGCAACAGCCGGGGAATCAATATCGGATTCTTTTCACTCATCAAAATATACATTAATGTGTATTATATTGCTGCTAATCTGAAAAGATAAGGGGTAGCAGCAGAACAAACTTAGTGCCAAGGACAAAACTAGGCGCGAGGAAAAGGAGGTGAAAAGTAGAGAAGTGTTGCAGCGATTTTTAGGGGAGAGAATAAACGAGACAGCCTATAGAGGATTACCTGCAACGACTTTATTCGATCATAGAAACGAAGTAATTATTATGAGGAATGATAATATTATAACATGGCATATTCCGAGATTCCATATATCCATCCATCCATCCACCGATATTATGAGTATCCAAAGCTTAATCTGTATCATACAAAGGACGAAATCGATGATCTCCAACCCGGAGAAATCAGTGTAAATCTTGACATCTAATCTACATCATCATCGTGCCCAAGTACATGTCCATCCCATCCTCTCGTGTCATCCTTTTGTCGTGCTATCGTATTCCCTAGTAATGTATTCGTAACCACCCCAACTCTCTGGGGCCACCCAGCGGCAGCTTTTCTGTCGAGGATTTTTCTTTCCGCCTCATCTTCGTCGCTGCTGATTTCGTAAGGATCTTCATCGCTGTCTCTTGGCTGCAGTGTTTGCATCGAGACGGAGTTTGAGTCTGCTTCATCCACATATTGATTTGGACTGCGCCCCAAGATTCGGTCTGCTTTGGATTGAGAACGATTGGCTCGATTGGGTTGTGTGGGATAGGAAACATAATGCCGACCAGCTCCTTCTGATCTTGGAAGGGGTACTATTGGAGATGCTGGCTCGCCCCAGCCGGCAGCCCTTTCTCTATTTCTTTGTTCTTCTCTTTCTCGGGCAAGTTTCTCTCGAGCCTCCAACCATTTTGGACTTGCCTCCCAACTCCATCCATCTCCAGTGGTAGTGGGTATAGGAATCGCCCATAATAATGCCTTGGGTCCGAATAAATGCTTGAAGTTTCTCCTCCACCCAAGATCAAATGCGCTAGGCAATTTTTCCGAATCTTGTTCGTCAAGATATTGCTCATATCGGTCTCTTGCTCGAGCTCTCTCTAATTGTTCGTATGATCCTTCAGCTTGTTCTTCAGGGATGTGTTGATGTTGCATAGTCTTTCTCAATGGGGATAAATATCTCGTCTTCTCGAGGCACTCAATTGTCGTTTGACCGCGGGATGATAGTAAAATATGCCATCCTGTAAAACCTGCTAAGACTAACCCTATAATTCCAGAAATTACCACCAGCATCACATAATTGACGGGTAACAATGAATCGGTATATTCTCCATCGCTCAATATCTCTCTCCAAACCCAAGTCCCGGAGACTGCGAAACAGAGAAAACAGAACAATGTTGTGTATATCAGGAATAAGAGGAAGGCCTTATAATTTCGCAGCCCAACGCAGGTAGCTAACCATGGGCAATGATGATCCATCTTTAATACACAAATTCCGCATGTTGAGCAATGGTGAGATCGATCCGGCTTCCTTGCTTGACATTTTTTGCAATAGCGCAATTCTCCATTCGATTTTACCGTGAAGTTTGTCGCCACAGGATTGTGTGTCGGAAGGGCGCTATATCCATGATTTGCGGCCGTGGTAGTTCCTGGACTCGTGAAGACCGCAGCCGTGTATGACCAATTCAGGAGAAGATATGTAATGATTCCCAGAAATGACGTCCCCTTTCCTATTAAATATTAGCTTTGCCAAATTTATTTACGAAAATAACGCCTACCTATCCAGTGTGTTCTGCTGCCATCTGCCAGGAATCCAATTGTAGTTTCTACCCAGACAGCCCAGGTAGTAATACTGTATACGAATACAAGGGGGAAGTAAGTTGCGCCAATGCAACAATAACGTTCGCACTTTCTAGCCCATTTTCGAGACATTCTTGAAGGGCCGGGAGATCTAGGAGGACTTGGTGGCGATAGATTAGCCATGGGATTCATCAGAGAAACATGACTTAATTGTTCGCATTATTTAAGGAGTTGTTGGAATAACAGACCAGCTGGTGTTTGTGTTCCGTTTAATAGAGGCTGAGCTTCGCTGATTAAACATAGGTACTACTGTGTAGGTAGGTACAGATCGGCCTCCGTAGCCCGGACTTCCGAGACCAAAGATGAGGACAGTGAGACAATTCACACAAACTTCACTCACTGAGAAATCATCAACTTGACACTCTGGTTCAATGCAATGAGCAATGAGCAATGATCAAGTGGAATCACTTGGTAGGATGTGGTGTTCTTCATCTAACGATTTATCAGGATTTCAATCCATTTGACCTCAGCATCCCAATATTGAACATCGCTAGTTTTGCTATGTTTACCTGCATAGACACATATAAATGAGATTGCCTCTGCAGTTGGCGAGTAATAGCAGTTATAAATTCAATGTCTACAAGATCTAATATGTAGTAGTACATTTAGTACTAAGCAGTATCTAATGTATTACATGAACTCTCTGCCATCCTGCCACCGCAAGACTCTTGGATTCGGATAGGGATTCTCGGGTATCTTTGTGGAAGCGGAGGGATTGTTTCTAACTTTCCCTACAACTTCTGAAAACTCGACAGCGGAGCCACACAGTGGTTCTGCTTGGTGGCTGAATTGTAGAAAGCTTTCGCTCACGATATCTCAACGGATCGTCACTCTTTCCTTTTGACTGGAGATTTGTAAGATATGCTTTCTTGAGCCTCCGAACCCCCTCGAGCTCGGTATCGCTTGTATCCCAACTTGCTGAAGAGGAAAGATATCTGGCCATCAGTGGGGTCCTAGGGGTTCGAAGAAGAAACAATGGTTGAATGGGAGAACCATCTTAAAGAAGGGATGAGGTCTTGCTGTGTCGGCATCAGAGAGCATGATGACTATTTGCAGTGCTAGCATTTGGTGCCCCTTCTTCTCAGGTATTATCGTCTGTACTTTTTCGGATGGTCGATTTATTTCGTTCCCGATCCTTTTGGCTGCTCAGACATATTAGCCCGTGTCTAAGGTGATTGTAGACAGCGAATGCATGCCTGATATTTATGTTGTCACTTTGAGTAGTCATGTCTTCGAAGAGTAACCATATCATCATGGTCAAGAAGAAGACTGTGTGTTTGGTGTTGACGAAGGAAGAGGGGTTTTTTTTCACTCAATGTGTACAAGTAGATTAAGTTGACCTAGGTAGCTAGAAGTTTCAGATGAATTCCATTGTGCATTGAAAGAATGAGATGATAGCTACCCACATACCTAGTAGGCGCAAGCTATCGGCCATTGTATTCACTTTTATATTTGTGTTTCCCCTCCTCTTTTCCTCTCCAATTCCCCTCTTATCGTCTAAAAGAATTGACTGTCGGCAGATCGTTCATTGGTTGATTATTGTTTGCTTTTATTTCGAAAGCTGATGTCTGTTGCTGCTGTCGCCGTAGCCTTATTACTAGGTAGTCTTTGCCTTTCCTTTTTGTTCTTTCCCAACTTGCTTCTTCTGTAACTACCCTACGCGACCAAAAGTCAAAACCTCCCACTCCATTCTCACTTCTCTACATAATAAACAACTTCCCGTCAAACTCATATTATTCACTCCGCGATTTTTAATACATAAGAAATTTTATCTTCTCCTTTGATTTTCTTCCCAGGTTGGCTACGCCTTAAGAAACGCAGGAATTCGTTTTTAGTACCATCCTTTCCTTTCATTCGGTCTTGCTTTCTAAATCGGGAATTCATTTGCCTCAAATCAACCGCATTACTTTTTACACTCCTCTAGATCGGTCTCATGAACAATATCAACAACCAGAGCATCAATCAAGTACGATAACAACCAAACTCTCTTCGATATGGCTGCCAAAGACGCAAAGATTGGCGAGTTTGATACCAAGGTAGACTGCAGGCTCTGTAAAATCACCTTTAAGGATTGGACTGCCTTCCACAACCACAAATTGACCCACAGAGACCACATCTGTTGTGATATCTGCAGCACAGACTTTCACACTGAGGAAGGTCTGAAGCGTCATCGAACTCTAGTAGGTTAATTCAAATTGATTTACTGGCGAGTCATGGTTGACTGACATCTCATGAAACTCCAGAATCACCCAAAGGAACAAGATCTGAAGTGTATGGCTTGTGGCAAAAAGTTCATTCGTCTAGGATCTCTAATCAACCACCTTGAACTGGGTAGCTGTCGCGCAATCAACCCTGAAGATAGACATAACCTGGCA